GGTAGAAAGTATAGAACTAATAATTATATCAAATAGACAAAGGCAAAACGTTTTAGCCCCTTTTACTCTTCTGTTTCTCAACCGATTTCTTTTTATTTATTTTTTTTCTTCTTTTTTTTAGTAGCTATTGACGAGTTTTAGTATTACCAATAGATAAAAATTGGAAATAGTGTACATAAAAAAAGAATAAAAATGTTAGTTTGTTTAGAATCTCAGTAAGTTCTTCACCGATTACTTAGAAATTTTGATACAACATTGCAATCAAATTCAGGAGTCTTTGTATATAAATTATCATCCGGCGCTCCGTTTCGAAATACGTGATTCGCTTTAGGATCAAAAGGCTTTAACGATTTTAATAAGACTTGTCCAATTTTTTTCCTTCGAAGCCTTTATTATTTATGTATATGTACATACTTTCCTGAAAATAAGTTGCATAAGTTGTTACGATGAATTCCAAATTTTATTTGCGAATAACTCAAAAAGCACTCAATTTTTTATCGATAATATCTATATTTCTTTGAATGCTTGCTGAATTCTCTGGAAAATAAAAAAAAAATATCATCAAAATTGCTAAGAATTATCTCCGAAATTATTCAATTTGTAGCTGCCGTAGAAGTAAAGCTGTTACAAATATTTTTTTAAGTACAAAGCTGAGATTTGTATCAAATACGAACTTCCATTGCAATCGAAAGATCATTTTTTTTTTCTCAATTTTTCACCGAATGAAGAAAGTGGTTCAAATATATATATATTTTTTTAATGGACTTATGATTCACATTTTTATTTGTCTATAACTCAAAAAGTAAATGAATGACATTGCACTGTTTTCTTTTGTAGGTACATATAAATGTTAATGTACGAGTAAATAGGAGTAGAAAAAAAATTTTGGAAACGTGCAAATTCATTTATGTTTTTACCAAATGTTCAATAATCATCATGTTCGAATTTCGACCAGTGTACAGACAAAGATAAAAACAATTAGACAAATGATCTCTTGCACTATTATTTCACCAGATTATTGGTAGTTGTACACTCAATTTTAGTGTGTTTTTGTTCATTATTCAATAGTATATTTTTTTAAATTATTTTTTGAAAAACTAATTTTTTTAATCTTAATTTTTTTCATGTTTTCGTAATTTGTATAGCTAACATTAAGATACAACTTGGAGTAATACCATTTCAATATGGCTACCAAGCTGCAACAGATACTATCCTAGCATCTTGTTATAGCGATTTGGTAAAGTATCGTATCAACACCTTATTTCTGTGATTGCATTAAGAGCAACTGGGAAAAACAAGAATGGATTCCCCACAAATTCTCATGAATCAACCTTGAGAATAGGGTTGACATGAAATAAGGTCTTTTGTAAACAAGGGAATAACTATAACGCTTTAGAAAAAAGTCCTCCTTTAATAAGCATTAAGTTGAGACTTATTAGAAAAACAAATTGAGATTCATGTCCAGTTTTGTGAAGAAATAAAGTGATTTTCTATCCAGTCACCTACAAGTACCGGTGTTTTTAGCAAAAATTATTACAATTAACAGTTGCAAAGCTTTAATTTTTGGTTTTTCCGTGATATGAGATTTATAGTAATAAATATAGTACTCTTCATTTCAACACTGCAATCACCTACTCTGGAATCAACTTAATCACTCTCTGTATAGATATCAATTTTCCAACTTGAAATGTCACTAAAATGACTTTACTTAACAATGTTGATATTGGTGTAAGTCAATCTGTCAACGTGAAAGCTCACTTAGTTTTTCTTTCTCAGTTTTAAGAGTAACGGTTTTTCTGAAATGAACAGTAAAACTTCCATCATATTGGTATTAATATTTTAAAATTTAAATTTCTTACTTTAGGAAATTGATTTCATATTTAGAAAAATAAAATAAGTTAAATGGTTTAGCCAGGTCATCGTGGTTGATCAGTGATGGTCATATGTCCTTGTCCTTGAAATTATTGGAGTAAACATGATCTGTCATCCTGACTAGTCTTGTTTGATTATGTATTTATAGCTGTTGCTTTTAAATTTATTCAAATGCAAGAAGAAGAAGAAAACTAGATGTGATTAAAAATAAGTGTAACAAACTTATTAGTATTTAAATTCTTAACGATATTAAATAAATATGTATATAGATTGTTATTATTAAGCTATTTATACCGAAAGAAGTTGGTTATAGGTAATTCGAAATTTTAAAAACATAAAAATTCATGTTCACTTTATCACCAACGATTATTGATTTGTCTGGAACTCACAAGACGGAAATGAAAATACGTAAGATAACAATTTTTGCTTCGATATTCAATGATTTTTCTCATTGTTTCTGATTAATGTGATTTTAAACATTTCTTAAAACATCCTAAAAAATACACCAATTACTTGATTTAGCTAACTATAAACTGAAGCTTATCTTTGTAAAAGGAATCATATAATCTTTTATTGAATAGTAATTGTGAGGAACTATTCGAATGAATGACAATGGAAATCTTAAAAATTGTTGACAATAGGAAGTGTGTGTGTGTGTGCGTGCGTGCGTGCGTGCGTGCGTGCGTGCGTGCGTGTGTGTGTGTGTGTGTGTTAACAGTCTAGCTCAAAAACGAAAACTCGTACGGAAGTGAAATTGCATATTTAAGCTTTTTATATGCTAGGGATGTTACAGCAACTTTTTCGCCAAAATCAGCTAACCGGACGTAGCACTTTATATATTGGACTAAACACATTTTTACGGTTATCTCGACAACGGCTCTAACGATTTTGATTAAATTCCCCATTTCAGTGTAAAATTAAGCAGTTTTAAATATAATGTAGTTTTTATTCTGATTGGTGTTCTCTAACAGTGCTTAAATGGTTAATTTTCAATATTAGCTTCCTCTAAAGTCTCTTTAATATTTTTTATTTGTAACAATTAATCATTTTGAATTGATCTGTAATATAAAATATGAAAGAATTCGATAATTAACTAAAGGAAAAATATGAGATCGTAACAGAGAATAGTTCTAATGATGGAATCAAAGAAATACGAGCGAGGCTAAGCTTACACGAGCTCGCTCTTAGATTAGTACAGGCTTCCATATGCTTAATATAATACGGACTCCAACAATATTATGTACATATGCATATGCGGTTTTAATTAATGCTATCGTTCGTATTATTTAATAGTATAGAATACAGCGATATAGAAATTAAAATTTGTCTATATAAGGGTATTTAAAAAAATAAAAATATCCACAATGAAATGTAAATAAATATAGCCTCAATAATTTTTACCTTCACTTCCCCTTTGTCTGAAAACACTTATTTCTGGTAAGAAGACGGTGGTAAGTGAAAGTCGTGTGATGCGCGCACCAGATTTTTTTGGTTTCTTCTACCTCACCGGCACCCGAGTTCGAACTTCTTAATTCTCAGTTTCCAGGTTACCGAGCAGGTTAACCCGCTCGACCGCCCTATTTTTTACTTACCTCATAATCAGCAGAAGGTTTGACTAGAATATTTGGAAGATCTTATCATTTCGATCCAATAAAACATCAACATCACCCAACTAAGCTTTAAACATCCCAGAAGAGTCAAGCATAAGATCTAACAAAATATATGGGTGGGTTCTACCAACCAAACTTAAAATACAACATATCAGTACTCGCAGAGTAAGAATTATTCTCCATTCCTCTGAAAATTATAAATTATAAAGATTAATTAAGCTACGCCATGAGTTAGCCAATTATGAAAAATGTATGACATTTTTTCTGTGTTGACGGGGCTATTAACCAAAAATATAAATGTAATATATATTTAAAAAAAAAAAGGTAGTCCTGAAGCAACGCCATCAGTGTAATGTTTTAGTGCAAAGATGTCTCTCTTTGTTTACAACAAATATTTTTAAGGTTCTTAATTTTTTTTATTTGGTTGATGGAACCCACAGGCGGATCTATGGAGAGGAGGAGTACGGCTCACCCAAAGTGGTAAAATATTACCATGTCCTATGAAAAAAATATTAAAAAATTATCTCTAAAAGTATTATTATTCGTGTAATTACATTTAATAGGATTTCAGGAATCACTTAAACAGCATTTTATATAGTTAGTCATTTTTTTTCTTCTTCTGTAGTAACTACTGTCATATATAAAAAAAAGCTTTCGGGCTGAAGTCCCCATCCCCAAATTAAATCCAGGATCTGTTAGTGATCGAATCCACCAATTTTATGATTATTTTCATTTGTTTAAACGTTTTGAAAAATCTTACACGCCAAAGTCACCTTGAGATGTTGCCTGACAATTTGTTTCGAGAAACAAAATAAAGAGAACTTCCATATCCACAAGTCAAACCTTCGCTGCTTAAGAGGTAAGCAAAAACTTGTTTGTTTCCGGTCTATCCTGAATGTGGACGTCCTGAACTAACTAGTAAAATGAACTATTCATCAAAAAGACGATGAATGGCAGAGGTGCCACAGGAGGGACTTTTTTCTTAAAGATGGTGCAAATGAAAGTAAAATTATAAAAATTGAAGTTCAGTTTTCCCCTTGTTTTAAAGTTCTATTCAATTTAAATCTAACAAAAATATGGTGCTCTCCAGAAATCCATAACCCGTAGAAATGTGTTTCCATCAAAACCTTTTAAGGTGCACCTTGTGTCATGCAAGCACTTTCCGGGACACTCCTGATGGATGGTTTTAATACCGAATAGTACACTATAAGGGGTACTGGATGTACGATACATGGCACAACCATTTCTTTAAACTAGTTCAATGTTCTGGGTTCGCACATAAGGTTTTCCTTACCCCACCTATCCCATATTGGCGGTTGAGTTGTCCTTTCACCTCCCTCACAACCGATGGTCTTGAACTGTACTTTCTTATAAAATACTCTGTCTAGGACCCTTCAATGGTGATAGGAATCTTTTCCATTAAATAAACTAGTTAGTTCAACTACTGTGTTCATATACTGTACCATCTCTGATACATCGGTTTTCCGCAAATTTATACTAGATAATGTGTAAAAGAGTTCTTTTTAAAATTAGTTCAATATGCTGGTTCACCTAACGATACTATATCCAAAAGAACTACTCATTGAAAAGGCTTCTCCCTCCTCTAGATGTCAGCCAGCCACCTGTAGCTCCAAAACAGTGTAGTCACTACCCCCACTACTAGTCAACTCTGGCATTTGAGGTTTGTTTCCTTGATAAGCTGCCGGTGTTTTTGTGCTTGTTGAGTTATCACTAAATAACTTCGCAAAGAAACAACATTTTATATTATAAAATGTGTATTTTATATATTTTTTCACTTATACTTTTAATATTCTTTGATATTCAGTATTATATTAGAATCATAGCTGTTGTTTTGTTTGGGAGATTGTTTGAAAAGAAGCAGAAAGTCACTGACCCTACAATAATTTATGGTAAGCAACAATTGTATTAATTCCATTTCTTGAATGAATTATCATTTGTCTATTTGATAATATAACTGTTAAACTTTAGTTAAATTTTTAGGCTACCCCTAAATATTACAATGTTGCTTTTTTATTCTTGGTGTAACATAAATGCTTTTAAATTGTAATGATCCATGAGCAATTTAGAATAAAGCTATTTCGAAAAATCATGATGAGGAATAATATTTGCTTCATTTAAAGCTAAATCACGAGTAATATAACTACAGTTGTACAGAATCGTTCTTGAAGTTTAGTTGAATTGAAACCATAAATTTTTCTAATTGCCTTACATCAATTTTCTCATTATCTTAACTTTAGAAATAAGATTAAATATTGGATTTAAGAAACAAACTTTCTAGAATAAATATCAACAGGCCCACTACTGAAGTATTTAACAATTTTTTTTAAGCTTTGAAAATGGATTTAAAAGGCTGTTTTACATAACAACAGTCAACCATCGAGTATTCAAAATAATTTTTGGTTTGCTTTACTGCTAATATCACTACCATTAATATTAAATGAATTTCAATTTAAAATTCAAATACTATTAATTTTTCAGGTTTCTGTTTCACTCAAGATTTAGATCTAGTTTTCAAGCACATGAATAATGCTAGGTTTGTCAGGGATCTAGATTTTGCCCGTTTCCACTTTTATGACAGATCAGGATTATATGATGAAATGATAAAGAGAAAAAGTGATGCACTCCAAGCTGCTACCAATATTAGATATCGAAGAGTTATTCCAATTTTCACTTTTTACAAAATAGTCACACAGGTATATTTACAATTATTTAATGATTTTCAGTAGTAATAATTATCACTACTTCTTTTATATATATCTGTTATATATATTATAATCATGTATTTTAGGTAATTTATTGGGATGAGAAGAGCATCTATGTTGAACAGAAGTTCATTACAAATGATGGATTTATTCGAGCGATAGTTTTGAGCAAACAGACTATGATTAAAACTGATGTTGAAGATGTCATGAAATCATTAAATGCTGGGCCCAAACCAGAAATACCTAGGGACCTTGATCTGTGGTTACAAAGTATGGAAGTTTCTAGTGAAAAACTGAGGGCAAAGCAAGACTGATAATGTTTTATATTGAAACAGAAATTAAAAAAAAAAAGTTTGCTCACAGGTTATTACATTCTCCTGTATTAAATTTGTTTTTTCATTAATTTTACTTTGTTTTGTTCTTTACTTAAACAGCTGATTCGTACTTATAGCATTAATAATAAGGTTGGCAGCTGTCCAACATGTAATGATGAGTCCCTCTGTAGGGAATTTTTGATATCTTGAGTGAATGTAGCGAATGATAGTAGAGTATTGTGAATCTAGAAAAACCAAACAAAATTACTATAGTCTATAATGCCCAAAATAATATCTGAATATTATGTTATTTTTATATCAACCTTAATTGTTAAGGTATGCTCATTCTAGAGATAGAGAAACCACCATGAGGGTGTTTTGTAACTACAAAAAGAATTAACATGTAACTTGCCGAAGGAGTGAAATTGTTTCTACATTTTCTTAGATTAAGTTCCTAGAGTAGACTGATTTGTCCCATTAGTTATTTTAATGTCCTGGTAGAATAAAGATTTGAACTTGATCTGATGAGTTTCAAAATTGTAAAATTTCTGAATTTTTTTTCTTTGAAGGTTGGCTGCTATTGAAAGATTTTCAAAATGCTCAAAACAAATATGAATTTGTTTCATACTTATATATATTTTTTTACCTACTTGAACCAACTACCTCTTTTTTGACCATTTACTGACCTTAAAAAGAATATATCTCCAGCACATTTTTTATCTATATTAAAAAAAAGCACTAAATTAAAAAGCATATATATTTTTATATATATAAAAAATTATTTTTAAAACTATTAAAATCTGTGACCTCCCCGTTTGAGTTCATATTTTTACTTGTAATAAAAACAACTTTTCCCTTGAAAATATTGATTAGCTTTTGAGAAGATTATGTTATTGTGATGAGGCTCAGATTTTGAAACAGCTTCAAGATAATAAAAAACATTAGTTTTATCAAAACACAAACTATAAACCAAATCAGGCTGTCTACTTCGCTACATTGATATATATCTGTTTTTTTTATTATTATTTTATAAAACATGTCTATGTTGAATACAAAAATTTATTTATTTGTTTTAATGATAAAATAGCCAGGATCGTTCCACACCAAAGCCTTTTTAATTAGAAATCTGTTGAATGTATAAACAATTACTGAATTCTATTGTGTGCCAGACATTAGAAGTATGTTTTTATATTCTTTATAAGAGAGTCTGTATTTTTTTCATTTGTTCAATAATTGAAAAGTAACAAATCCTTATAAAGAATAAATTGACGAAAATTGTTTCAAACGTTAATATCTCCACTTTTGGAAAATTATCATGTTGTCAAATAACATTTGACATGAGAAACTTTGTTTTGAAATTTATTGAATAATTTCCAGATGTAGATGTAGATTGTTATATTATCAACAAAATCATTAAAGGAAAGTGGGTATATTATGTTTTGTTAGAATGCTTTTCAATTTTTTTTTTTAATGAAAAATAATAATTGATTATAATCAGAGACCGTATTACCATGTTATTGCACATTTTATTCGCTTGCGCGTAAAAACTCCGTATCTGAACATCTATCCGTTTCAGGCTCTATAGAATCACATATTTAAATTTTATATTGCAATTTTTACATTTTGATTTTGTGTTGAATTAAATTGCACATTTTGTGATTGACTAAATGATATATAAATATTTATGCGGGTGTTTAAATATTTACTTTTTATTTTACCGTATTGTCCATATTAAATTTATAATTTTAGAATGAAAAATATGAGGAAGGTGTGACTGGCAAAGATTTGAATTTAATGTGACAAAAATACGATGTAAATACAAGTGCAGACTGACTATTCTTGGAATAGAACATGCCTGAAGAAATTTAAAAAACAAAACTGCATATCTCATTATGACTTGAATTCTCACTCTTTCGTAAGTCTTTCAGTATCCATTCCGGCTTTAAAGTGAATCGTAGACTACCATGGATTCGACATTAATAATATCTGATTTGACATTCATAAAAACAAATTTTCCATAGTTGTTAACTAACTTAGAATCTCGAATTTGTTTCACTTAATAAACAAATTGAAATTATAGAAACTATAGGAGAAAATCTTTAAAAAATCAATAGTGAAATAAAAAAAATTATATCTCAAAATTTTACTCTATAATAGAAAAAATTTTGTATTTGTTTTGTGAATTATCTTTAAGTTTTCTATTATTTATGTCAGTACTCATTTTTTTATTTCTCTTTCTTCAAGATTTAGGTTAATCATAATTTATTATTGTGTTAGATTGTGTATTATTGTTGTTTGTTGATTGTAATATCAATTTTAATTTTCACTGTTGCTTTTTATTATTTTTTTTTTTTTGTGGCACAATATTTTAATTCAGAAGTTCAACATAAGGTTTATTAGGATTTCAATGTATAAATATTATAAATTGAACAAAATAGATCATTTTTGCATGTTTTTTGGTGTAAATTAGACAATTTTATATATGTTGAATTTTTATTGCAAGATTTTGCACATTTTGAGTTTTTTGCTACACATTTTTCAGATTTCTACTGCAGAAAGATCCGGTCTCTAATTATAATGCATATAAATTTTTTTAAGACTGTTGAAAGGGAGGCAGAAGTACTTGTCTTTTGTTGTATTTTAGTGGTTATTTTTTTTTTATTAAAATAAAATGTTTGTTATTTTTTTATTTTCTTTAATTGAATCGAGTATTGTAATCATGACATGTGTATTTTTTCTCCTACCTGTTATGTTTTTATTTATTATATATTTTATTTTAAATTATTGAATCATTTGTATTATTTCCTATATTAATCACTTATTTAGAAATATATAGTACACATATATAGAAAAATGAAAATAATTATAATAACTGTTCTTGCTGTGTGAAAGTTTTTATATGAAACACTGAAATGTGAAATATCTAAACTTCAGTTAAAGTAATAACTAAAAAATATTTGAACTACAAAGAACCTTTTGCAATAAATAAGTCATTATTGGAGATAGTAATTGATCAATACTAATTAGCAGTTAAAGTAATAAACATTTTAATCAGCTGATGACTACAAAAAACAGGCCTGATGAATGTTTAGGTAGCAACTTGGTATGTTGAGCCAGAATTCTTTCTTATTTGAATCTGGGTATTGCGAGTTCACACTTATTATGTGGTAAACATATGTAATAAATCTTTATTTTTCAAAATTGTTGTCACTGCTTATCGCTTCCACTTTTCAGATATAAGGGTGTACTGATCTTACATTATAATATTAGTATTAAATGCTCGTCTCCATAAATTAATAAAGAAATGGAATTGAAATTTTCAAATAATAATATTTGATATAAACTTGTATAAATAACAAGTTATTTTCAAAAGATAATTTGACAAACAAAACAGTGTGTATATAACAGAAACTTTGTTTTAAAAAATTATAAATTGAAAATTAAGTTCCAAAATCTAAATGTTGTCAATATCACATAAAAACAGTAATGAAAATGAAAAACAAAACAAAATCCTGCTAACAAAAGATCTATCCAAAAAAATTAAGGAATTTTGACGTAGTGATAAAGTGCATCAATATTTTTCAGTTAGAGTCATTTTTTACAATCAGAATATCAATGTTATGCTTAATCAAGTTTAAATTGATTTCTCAGTTTTTTTTTCAACATTAAGTGTTATTATAAATGTTATTCAACATTAATTATATCTTTAATACCATAATTGTTGTAGATTATAATTATTCATTGTAAATTTTGTTAATTCATCTTGGCTGGATTGATACGTTCAATAATAGTTGATTGTTACTAATTGAGTGTGTTAAAAAGACAAAGAAAAATACATTGAATTTTGTCATTTTATTTTTCAATTTAATATAGCTACATGAATAAATTTAACATAAGGAATATATAAGTAAATTTTATAATATAGTATTTTAAAAGTGTAGCAATAGATCAAGCACCATCTTGAAAATTTCAAAAATATTAGTGAAATGTTAAGATGAATATTGTGCTTGTAAATTACTCTGACTTATATGATTGGTTTTAAATCCAAATACTCTTCTGATTATTCTAGTCAACGCTTATTATTAATGAGTATAATTCATATTTAAGATAAATAATTAGGATAATCATTAATGTCTTTTTTTTTTCTTTTTTTTTTTTACTTTTACTACTCTTAAATTCTTATTGGGCCTACTTCATTCTATTCTGCAGCAGATTATAAATTGTGTTCAACAATTATAAAATCAATAGCCATTTTGTTTTCATCAAATCTCAATAATTATTATAATAAACCTCTAGCTATTAATATATTGGTAATTGTATTAAATTAGTAGTTTCTTCAAATCATTGTTTCTACTGACAGTCGCTGGTTCTCAGTAAAGTGCTCTAGGATTTCTTGCCGATGGTGCATCTGGGTCATGAGTTATCCATATCTATATTTGTGGGAATTATATATTGCTTTTTATTTTCCTTTATCTTCTTTGATACTCTCCATATGTGTGTGTGTATATATATATATATATATATATATATATATATATATATATATTGAAGCCATTTTTTAATTGTGAGTGGTTTAATAATTTTTAAGGAGAAATTTTAACAGACAACTTATTTTATAATGCTTTATGGACTTCCATCGTTCATTAGTAAGTTCCTCTTTCGATCAGGCATTTTCTCTATAAATCTGCTAAATTACCATTCATATGCTTATTGCTGGTTGCCTGGCAGCAGTTTGACAATATGTTTGGTTTTGCAGCAGATCTGGATAATCTACCATATACTATGTTTTACTTTATATACATATTTTGTAATTAGTTTTTTTATTTCCCCTTTTTTTATTATCACTATTAAGGTACTTAAGTAAGGTACTTCTTAGCTATTATTTATTTTTTTTTTTGGAAGTAATTTCTTGATAAGAAAACAATTTTTTGAAATTAATGTTTAAATATATTGCCCTTATTTTCAAAAGCTTTTATGAGGGTCTTAGTCCCTTTCTAGACAACTTTCCAATTTTTAATTAAGGCAAGGCAAATAACTCTCATGAGTTCTTAATAGGCAAAATTCAAACTATGGGTAACATTCTACTTTTATGCAGTGGACTGTATTTTAATGGATTAGTAGGTTATATTGATTGTGCAAAAATAGCTTTCCATCATTATGCCAGCTTATATCTCGTTTTTACCTTGAGGGCGCCTTCGGAGCATCTGCCCTGTCTGACTATCTGTGCTGGTCTGAGGTCGAGAGCTGCAGCACTCGTACGGATTAAGCGTTATCTTCTGATCTGGCCCCACCACTCGCCATAACTGGGAAAATGGAACTATTTTCGCACAGTCCCACTTATTCCAAAAATTTGCTGCAGTGCTCTAAATGAAGATAACCAAGGGATGCCCAATGCCCCATAGTCTTAGCATAACAACAGGACAAAAGAATTGTTTGTATAAAAATATATAATGTTAAAAAGATACCTTAAATGGTATCAGCTAAAAATTATTTGTTACTTATTGTAAATTACAGTTTTATGAAGGTAACTGGAGGTCAAGTATTGCCATGACTCAGCCATCCTGGAGCACCTTACTCTGTCTGAAACTCCATGGAAATTTAATGTATTTTCTCAAATAAAACATAAAAATCCAATTTTAGAATGGATTAAACAAAGTTTAATTTCCCTTTTATATTATGAGAAATTTATTAAAAGAAACTTTTCAAGTATCTGTAGAATACCTCAGAATGTCCTCTTTTAGTTGTGACTGTCATCCTTCTTTTCTGTTTGATATTTTAACTGTTTACTAGATGAGCTTAATTGGCTTGAGTTTGTTCTGTCAGTTTGCCCCTGGATGGAGCCTTTGCTTCGAAAAGTTTCAATCCCAATCTTTTTTAAAAATATGGGTAAAATATCTGTTTTTAAATCAAACATTATGAATATAAATGCTCCTTGGAGACCATTTAAGATAGTGAAAGGGTAACGATAACCTGGAATGCGAGTTATCGATGCCAAAAGACCAAATGTCCATGACGTTCCCATTATAGTTGAAAGTTTTATATATAACCATAGTCTACTATATTCCTTTCTACCTGATGTTTTAAGTTTTTCTGAAGAGCTGTGATGCTTTTGCAACCAATAAACTGTAATTGTGAACAGTACAACATTCATTAAAAGGAGAAAAAACATAGGGAAATAAAAAAAGATGGCCAAAGGCAAACTGTTCCCAAACCAACATACATTTGGCCTTGCTGCATAGTGAGGCCGATATTCCTTGGGAAGTAAGTCGGTCAGTTCTGCAATGACTGAGATGGTAATAATTAAGGTTGGTCCTCCCCATGCATAGATAGCATACTTTATATGGCTCTTTGATGAGCTGTTTTTTAATGATGCATTAGAGAATGTATTACATATATCAATACTCATAGCATTCATCCAAAAAAAAGAAGTCATATAAAAAAACTGTGTTAAAATTGCAATAACTTGACAAATATTCCTCGACACATCAAATACGCCACACAGAAAAAGAGTCTGAGCAACCATCAAAGAAATAGCAAGAGAATTGAGAACTTTAGCTGGTAGGGTCTTAGGAATTGGTGAAATTATTGATATAAACAAATGCAAGAAGAGGCAAATTATAGAAGTTGACATACATACTAGAGTTAAATAACCATCAATTTTCTGACTTAAGTACTCTTTGATATTGTTGCAGGACACATCACTTTTATTACACATGTTAACATCACAGGAACTTCCAATCGGGCAGCTGATTGAAGTGCATTTCTGTTGTAATCCATCCCAAATACTCTTTGGAACATTACATGAACGAAAACTCCAATCATAACTAAGTATTATGGAAAGTTTTGGTATGGTCCCCCTGAAATTATGGCCACGCCAGCAGCGTAATTCTTTTTTGTTTACGCCATTGCAGATTGCACAGTGAGGGTTCTTATATATCTGTAAAGAAGATAATATTGAATTGAAAAAGTATGTTTGATTAATCCAAAATATTATTTTATTTTTGATTTTCATGGTTTACGATTACCTCATTTGCCTTTGACAATATCATTGAATATGAATTGCATTTGGAAGAAAGTACAGGATCCGTATTGGAAGGACAATCAGACACAGAAGAAACACAAGATCTTCTATTTCTTACCTCTTCAACAGGAAATATACTGCAGGAACCATTTTCAACTTTCCACATAAGTTTTCCTCTCTGATAAATTCCAGTTTTCAATAACTAAAAATTTACTTATAAATATAAATAAATAAAGTTTTAATTTATAGTTATAATAATTTGACACTGCATGTTGCTGTGAACAATACCTTTTCAACTGTGATGTTGGTACTACAATTAACTGAAAGATGTGTATTAACAACAAAATTCAACTGGCCATGGCAGTAAGCACAGTATATATTAGCATAATAAAGTTTTGTTAAATTTGAAAAGACCGGAAGGTCTAGTGTATAGTGATATTTATCAGGAGGAACATCTTTTTCACAAGTTTCCTTCCATGGTCCTTTATATACACCACAATCTGAGATGACATATATACTCTGAAAGAAATATAAAAATATATATATATTATAAATGTTAAAAATATTGAAATAATAACAAAATTAATTGTGGAATTAAGTTTCATTGCAAGTCAAGACAGTTAGGAATTAAATTTAGTCCAGTGTATTAGCAATCTATTTTCACTTCTCTATATGAACATATAATTGTGAGGTTCCTTAAATCTTTTTTTTTGAAGATGTTTCTACTATGCCTTTAGGCAACATTTTGCAGCAGTAAGTAATAGCCTGAGAGTAAAACAAACTTGATATTACTTTAAGAAAAGTTTGAGTGCATTTTTTTTTATTTATATCTAAAAAATGAGAATCTATAAGTCAGATCATGCTATCTGATAAAATGGTGGCTGATTTAAAGAATATTAGGTAAGTAACTTGTGCTACAAACGGGAAAGTATTGTGAAAAATGTGGGAAAAGGTTTTATTTTGTTAACTTGTATATATGGGTTTAAAAATCTAAAAAACAAAATTGCCAAGGTGGGTCACCTTTGTAAAACTTTTTAAAACCTGAAAAGCCACATTTTTTTTTTTTTTTTTTCTCCTATAATTCATAAGTTCCTAAGTACATAGAATCGAAAAATGTACTCTTGAAAACATTGAAGAACGTTAAATTGGCCGTCGAACGAGTACCTAAAATTAATAATTTGGTTAAGTATTATGGTTGATAACCACGGTCAACAAATGCTGATTTTACAAAATTTGTCAAAAACTTATACTAATTACTATAAATGACTCTGTAGCTTGGAAATGAGTTTCCTAAGAGAAAAAACTCATAGCATAAAAGTTGTAGAGCATCAAATTCTGTGACCACTGAGTGCCAACAATTTTATTCTAGGCCAATCATATCTCTCAAATCGAGATTCGATATTTCTTCATAAAATTCAGTTTCTTTTAACACCTCATTTCCCAAAATACTTTGATACCTGAGTGGTGGAAAAGAGCCCTCTGCTGTATATAACAGACTCTAAACAAGAACAAATCAGTAGAATAGACTGTTGAAATATTTAAAATCACTGATACCTTCATTAACAATTTCCAGCCATCGAGTTATTACCGATTTCGAGCGGCGTAAGTAACCAACATTAATACTGTTGGTACTCAGTGAATGTAGAATTTGATGCTCTACAACTTTTACTCTATGAGTTTTTTCTCATACAAAATTCATTTCCAAGCTACAGGGACATTTATAGTAATTTGTCTCAGTTTTTGTCAAATTAGTAAAAATCAATATCCCATTTTGATCCTCAAGTTACTAGCCTAATATTCTTTAAATCAGCCGCCATTTTTCAGGGAGCATCTGATTGGCAATTTCTCATTTTTTATATTTAAATGTTATGAATATACAAAATAAATACTTTTATACTTTTCTTCAGATATTTGCCATTTTTTTGCATGGGCTCTCGGACTATAAATGTTACACTCATAGGGGCAGACTTCGGAGGACCCATGGATGCGATTGTACCCTCCACCCTCCTTGCATAAAATTGTTCAAGGGGTGAGAATATTGTACATATAACAAGTAAAACAAAAACAAAAAAGAAAATTAAAAATTCTTACAACTATACAAACATATATACACGTTAATTTTAAATACTCAATATTATATTTCTTCATTTCACAATAATTAAGTTGAAATTTTAAACATAATAAAAACTCCTGCCATTTTTTTATTTTTGATCCATCGCCTCCTCTCAATCAAAATTGAAAGCACCTGTGGTTGCAGATGTATGTGTTCAATTCACAATTTTTATTTCATGATCAGATGCATACAAATATTCATTTTGCCATCAATCTGCTGGTGGCCTTACGTTGCTGAAGATTGGTTCGAAAGGCCCCATGTAATCCCAAGAATTAGAAGAACTAGTCTCTTAGGAGGATACAAGTATCAGATAAAAATATACAATAAAAGTATCAACAAAAAAATGTATATATATATATATATATTTTGTTTTGTTTTTTTCGGTTGACCCTACAGACCTTGTCGATCTTTGACCGCAAGATGTGGTATTCTAGACCACATCCCGATTCCTGATTTGAGTACACGGGGATAGAGTCATCAGTCTTGCGCCCGGTCGGTGTGAGTTGCCTCCAGTAGCCTGACGGGTCTCACAACCCCGGGGGAGGAAGACCTCGCAAGTGCTAACCACGCTCGGCGTTGCTTAACTTGGTAACTTACTGCAAGCGCCTTTGTCCGCATGGTTATCCCTATATATATATATATATATATATATATATATATATATATATATATATATATATATATATATATATATATATCCCATCATCGGAGGTCAAAGTTTTCACGAAACTAGCAATGACAATGGAGTGAGACGCATTAGTCTGGCAGCAGCTAAAGGTCTAGTAAGTCCTAAAGGAGCAAAAAGCCAAATCGACCATTTGCTGATAGACAAGAGGCATCAAAGCTCCATATAAGATATAAGGAATTATCGTGAAGCAGACTGCGATTCGGACCATAGTCTGATTAGAATCAAATTCCGTCAGAGGTGCAAGCGAATCCACCGAATTGGGAACCATGTAGAAAGAAAGAGGTATGAAGTCCGTAAGTTGAAAAACTCTATAGTACAAGCTGAATTTCAAATAGAGCTGAAAAATAAATTCGAACCCTTGAACTTGGAAGGTCTCACGGTTGACCAACACTGGGAGGCACTAGAGTCAGGGCTAAAACAAATAGCTGAGGAAGTAATAGGAATTCAGGAAAAAAGAAAAGCCATGAAATGGTTCACAGGAGCATGCGAAAAGGCAGTGGAGGAAAGAAGAAAAGTAAGGAGAAAAGTCCTCTACTTACAAACTGATCAAGCTATGCTGGACAAATGCACAGCCGCCAGGAAAAAGAGAATCAAAATAATAAGAACAGCCAAAACAGAATTCCTCAAAGAAAGATTACAAACCATTGAGGAAAACTGGCAGGTTGGAAATGTATGTGAATACTTCGCAGATATCAGGAAAGAAAGGGTAGGATATAAAGCGAGAAATACACAAATGCGGGTCAAAGATGGCAAATTGACGGCATCAAAAGAAAAGATCCTAAGCATATGAAAGGAACACTTCCAGCAGCTGCTTAATGAAGGGCACCCCACAAACGAAGAAGACATGGACCACACTGAGGACATCGACGCATTTGAGGTTGAAAAAACAGATATTCTGGATGTGGAAATAGCTATCGGCAGACTTAAAAGAAGAAAGGCTCCAGGAATAGAAAACCTACCATCAGAATTGTTCAAGGATGGGGAAGAAGAATTCAGAGACAAGCTGTTGATCTAATCCAGAAGATATGGGAGAAGGAACGAATACCAGAAGCATGGAACACAGGATTGATCGGTTCTATCCTTAAGAAGGGCTCCATATATGAATGTGGCAATTACAGTTATTATATAACATTCCTCTTATATCAATCTGGCATGTCTGGACAACCATTTGTATCCATTTTGGGTTGTATCCACAGTTTGTATCAGATACTTTTTAGTATAAGATACAAAGTATCTCTATACATACAATTCGACGCAGCCCTAATACACACTTTTTTTGGGAGGGGTCCTCCCCTTCCGTGCCGTTAAGGCTATACGGGGTTTTCCCGGGCCAGGAAGTGTGGGTGGGGATTTAAAAGACTCCCTCGGCACCGGGACGCGAACTCGTGACTATTTTTATATCATTTGATTGATATATGAGGTTGCCTGGCAACGGCGGTGCTGTGCACACGCTTAGCCCATTCGGCTACCCCGCCCACTCCCTAATACACACTATCAGTAGAACCCATAGGCAGTGGCGGATCCAGGAATTTTCTTAGGAGAATGGGAGGGGAGCACCACTGTACCAGATGCTTCCCCCACCCCTATCCGTTTCCACACCACTACCCATCTCCCCCCACCTCTTGGCTGATTTTAACTACTCAAAAGTCCTCTTTAAATGGCTTTAACAATTGCAAACTCTATTTTTATTTAAAGTAAATTTTGTTTAGTTTACAGTGAAGCAATAGTTTATTATTTAAATTAAATAGTTGTTTAGTTATTACTTCCTATTCAACAAAATGACTCATAGAAGGAAACACATAACTTAAATTACTACTTTTATTCTGAAAATTGGTTCATTATTTATATAACTTTTTTGTAGCTCTTGAGTTCTGCCATCACTCCTTTAAATATTTCCCTGTGCTTACGGACAACCTATAAGTGGGTTTAGACATGTAAAAAGCAAAATTGCTAACATGGGTCACCAAGCAAAATCTTTTTCAGCCATAAAAAGCTAAATTTACCGATTTTATAAAATCTATTCCTACTCAACAGGGCATCAAACGAAAAACCTATTCCTTATGAAATTAAAGAACGTTAAATTGTGCGTAGAACTAACTTCTTTTTTTTAACTTTTATTGAGTATTAATACAGTCTGCCACACTGAAGGGCATTGGTACTAGGGCTATAGTATTCATTCACACAATATTTACATAAGAAAGGAAAAAAAAAAAAAAAAAAAATATATATATATATATATATATATATATATATATATATATATATATATATATATATATATATATATAAATAAAAAGATAATAACGAGTAACTAAACTTAATAATTTGATTAAGTGATATGGTCGATAACCTAAGTGAACGAACGCTAATTTTTACCAAATTTGCCAAGAACTGAGACAGATTACCATAAATGGACCTGCAGCTTGGAAATGAGTCCTCTAAGAGAAAAAACTCAGAATAAATTCTGAATCCGATTCTGATCATAATGGAGACCAAATAATTAATTCATTCCTTTAAGAAAAATTTTCCAATTGAAGCTATTTTAAAAAAAGAAAAATGCTTTCTAATGAGAATTATACAAATGTTTATCGTGGCCAGTTTTATGAATTGCATGTATTCTGCCAGGAGACTCTAGGTAATGGAGGTTGCAATGCATCCAGAACTGAATAAAAACTGGGCCCGAAAGAAAAACCGTAATTTCTTGTGCTCGAATAAAAGGCTGCTTGTATTTTTTACTAATAAGAGTTTTCATAGCTCACGCCGCGCCTTAAGACCTCGCGCCGCCGCGCACAGTGGGACGGAAGTGGAAATTCGCGACATCGGCTAACTATATATATTTTTTTTTAGAATCTCAAAAACTAGATAAACTGTTTTATTAATACCGTTTGGAATTCATGAGAATAGTTTTAGTTGGTAGAATATACATTTTTCACTGTTTTTATTAAATTGTTCAATTTAAAAAAAATAAAATAGATTTAGCCAATGTCATGAGTTTTCGCTTAAACATCCCACTGTGCGGAGGCTCCAAAACTGCATCACTTCACCATGCAAGCCAACTTTTGTTCTTACATTCTATTCTTTGTTTATTTTTTAATATTTCATTAGAAAATTTGCCTATGAGGATGAATTCTTCTTATATTTCTCTTTCCTTTAAATATCTGTCTTTTGGAACTCTTTTGGAATTTTCGTCCACCATCCAAGGTGGGAGGAGGGGAGCGCCCACTGGCAGAATAGGCTTGTGCTGGTGACAATATATATATTTTTTTATATTACATTAGAAAATTCGTCTATATGTATGAATTGTCACTATATTTCTCTTTTCAACAGCTGCTTTTTCGAACTTTTTTCGGGACTTGGCATAAATCACTTGTGCTGGTCACCATAATATATATATTTTAAATTACATTAGAAAATTCCTCTATGATGAAGCATTTTCTCTATATTTATCTTTTCTTTAAATATATGCGTTTTGAAAATTTCTTCCCACCATCCAGGAAAGAGAGGGGCGCTCCCCACAGGCTGGATCCGCTAATACTGGTCACGATAATAATTTTTTTATATATTCCATTAGGTAATTCGTCTATTAGGAAGAATTTTCCCTATATTTATCTTTTCTTTAAATAGCTGCTTTTTGGTACTTTTCCCGCACCATCCAGGGGAGAGAGGGGCAGGCACGCCCCCCCCTCCCTGCTGGATCTGCTAGTACTGGTCATGATAACATTTTGTTTTGTGCCACATTAGAAAATTGGCCTTAGAGGATGAATTTTTCTACTATTACTCTTTTATTTAAATAACAGTTTTTTTAAATATTTTTATCGGATTTATCTTTCCACCACCCTGAGTGGAGGGCGCCCCCTAGCAAAAAACACTTGTGCTGGTCACAATAATAATATTTTTTTATATTACATTAGAAAATTCGTCTATTAGGATGAATTTTCTCTATATTTATCTTTTCTTTAAATAGCTGCTTTTTAGAACTTTTTTTGGAATTTTTTTCCACCTCCTAGAGTGGGGGGCACTCGCGGGACCTAGGAGCTCGCAGGACTCCAGCCTTCTAATTCTGCCTTGGTGGTTCCTCAACAAATTGCTATGATATGAACTTCATGAACTTATTGATCGTGTATATTAAAATTCCATTGCAAATCACTGTACATATGTACTAGCATGTTTTGTAGAATTTGTTTAACGGTGCCCAACTTCGGATTCATAAACTCACATAAACTGTAAAAGGAATAATTTATTAAAATTATTTTATTTATTTTATTTTATTTTCAAGCCTCCCCTGCCTGAAGGCAATATAAGAGGGATTTTACTGTTACATAACAACCCACTGGTTTTTTTTTTTTTTTTGGCTATTACATTATTTTTCTGAGCTGTCCACACAGCTTGCTCTTCTCTTCACTTGCATCTGGTTTTCTTCTTCCCAAAGAGAAGTGGGTAGGTAGTACAACTTCTTTCCATCCGTATATAAAACGTTTGAAGTGCAAGTATTTGTCTTTGGCCATAAGTTGAGGAAGATCTCTCTCTGTTAGGACAAAGAGACCTGTTTCTCTCAACAGTTTCGCTCTCAGTGACTCATATACCGTACAAGAAAGTACATGTTCAGCGATCTCCGGTATCCCACAATTTGGGCATAGGGGATCGATATTTATACCATACTGAACGAGCTTTGCTCGGAAACCCCCATGCCTCGTGAGAATCTGTGAGATCCAGTAGTCCGGGAGGACCTAAGTCGCTTCTAGTCGCGAACTGATGGTGGGGAAGTACTTCCTTAGGGTAGCTCCTTTGGGAGTCGTCAACCACCGTCGGTTCCAGTCCTCTACAGTATCCTCCCGGAGGATTCTCTTCCAGTTTCTTGGATCATCTCCTATTCTCACTCGGAGGTAATCCGGTAGAGCCGCTAAGCATTCTTTCCTAATGTTGTATAGGTAGTAGTCTGCTCTCAGCAGGAGGTCGAGAGGTATTCCTCCTGCCAAGACCTGAATGATCTGGATACTCGAAGCAGAGCCATCCGCTGAATCGTGGCCAACCTACATTTCTGTCTGTGCGAGAGATTTTGGTTCCAGGCAGGGGACGCATACCTCAGGATACTCACAATAACACCTTTATAAATAGTCATAGTTGCTGGGTACCTGAGGCCCCAAAATGCGCCCCCAATACGACTAAGTCCGTTAAGGGTTAGGGCTACGCTACTTCTCAAGTAGTCCAAGTGAGTATTAAAATGCTTTACTGTTAGTTTAAAGTATTTTCTGCCACTTCACAGTTTTTTTGTCATAAGGATGGGCTTGAAACAACTTATTACCTATCCCCACCCCATGATCCCTTTGCCCTCCCCTCCAATAATAGTCAGCGCCTATGGTAGAATCAATAAGGAAGCTGAAACAGAGATTAGATCATTTTGTACTAATGTCAATATAAAAAAAAAATTACGTTATATTTTCATATCGGATACAGCTATAAGATAATTGTTGCTAAAAATATAAACAATAAAATATATAACAATATTATACAACTAATTTGTATAATAAATTTAATGACCAATTAGCGTTATAAATTTAAATTATTTCTTAGCATTTTCTTTAATTTATTGCTTACATTATTCAAGTTTAAGGGAAGACATTTCCACTTATAACTTCCCTTCATCCTCAAATTAGGAACTGCATCAATACAGCAGTCTCCATATTCAGCACACTTATCATCACACTGGCAAGGACCAATTCTTCCACTAGAACAGAATATATATTTACAATACATATTTGATTGTGGTCCGTTGTCTCATAGAATGCTCTGACCGTTTAAAATTTATCAAAATATATTTAGGACACTGTTGTTTTTCCTGTTTTAATATCATGATCGAACAACTGAAATTCAATACCCACTTTAAACTTTGTAATCAAAAATATTTATTTTTATTTCAGGGAAAAGAATGGTTTGGCTGATCAGTAAAAAAACAAATTAAAAGTAAATGAGTATATTTGACTGATCACCCCAACCATTCTTCTCTTCAATTATTCTCTACAGTCTACTATAAATCCATAATTATTTTAATTTTATATTTTTAAGATTATTTTATAACAATATTTATATTTAATTTTTACAAAAAAATAAATTGTATCATTCCGAATCCGATCCCGATCATATTCAAATTCCGATGAAATAATTAGAATCTTGCCTCATAAAAAAGTTCCCAACAGCAGCTATTTTAAGAAAAGAACGACAATTTGTAATGAGAAATGTACAAATTATTATCGTGACCAGTATTATGAATCGCATGGATTCTTCAAGGAGACTATAGATGCTTGAGGTTGCAATGCATCCAGATCTATTGGAACTGAATAAAAACTGAGTCCGGTAGAAAACCCGTATTTTCTAGTGTTCGAATAAAACGTTCTTCGAAAGAATAAATGAAGTTCATATTTTTCGAAAAATTAATTTTCCTCCATCATGTATTTCACCTGCGAGATATATTCCAGTTTGGAGTCAATAGGAACAAACTGCGACAGGAGCAGAAGCCTTCGTATCTCACGGCGACCCAAAAACTACATCACTCTTTACTTTGAATAGCTGCTTTTTGGAATTTGCCCTTGCAGAATTCGCTAGTGCTCGTTACGATAATATATTTTTTTTATATATATTACATTAGAAAATTCGTCTATGAGGATGATTTTTTCCTATATTTCTTTTTCCATTAAACATATGCTTAAAATATTTGTTTTCGAAAGAAAGGCCCTTTGGAGAGTATTTGGTCCAGTAAAGAAGAATGATGAATGAAGAATTAGACTCAACCAAGTACTAGCTAACTTATACAAGGAGCCGAATGTGGTGAAATATATCGACATATCTTATAAACCCATATCATATTTCATAATGTAATGTTTAATATATTACATCGAAAGTGTTTAGCAGTTAGACATTGACAAGTTTAAAAGCACGTAATCAGTTGCCGGGCTTTGATGCTCGCGTGCTTCAATTTTCATAAAATAGGTCATTGTGTATTCATGATCTGATCTTCAGTCTTCAGAGCATGCAGTCATGCTAAAATGCCGGCTAAAGGATCGTGGTTGTCTCATAGTATTAAAAACATAATTGTGGGAATGACGACCCTAATAACCATCAATCAGTAATTTTATTTTAATATTCTTAAAAAGTTCGCACTAACGAACTATTCGATTCGACTTATTATATTCGCATATAATGAATGGTGTCGTTTATCTCCGGGGAACAGATATGTAGTGGAGGTTATTTTAACTGTTATTAATCATTTTATTCTATTCGAATGTATATAATTACTTCTCTTTTTTATTATTTGCTAATTGGAGTGCAATCATTAGAACCAACATTGTTCAATTCACATATACACTTTGGGCAATAATGGACTAAAAAAATAATAATTTAGGATTAAAACACCTATAATTATAAACATATATTTGGGTAAACTATATTTAGCCTGAAAAGTGATTCGGCGTACTATTGCCGAGCTATAAAAGCTGAGGATGTATGATAACTTGAGGTGAATCTCAAAATGTTGCCTAATAAACCACAACTTAATAAATATGGACATAAATTGTGGAAATAATTTAAACGAGAAAGTTTTCCTAAATTGGGGTAACTTTAGTACAGTTGAAGGGTGATAAAAAAAACATCACAAAAAATTTATGACTTTTATTAAACGGAACTTAACTGTGTTTGTTCGCTCAATGGTCCTCTTTAAATAGTTTCAACAATGACACACTCGACTTTTGTTTATTGTAAATTTTGTCTAGTTTACTATGTAGCAATGCTTTCTTACTTAAATCAAATATTTTTTAAGTCATCTCTTCCTATTTAACAAAACAGTAGCCCGTGGTACAGACCCCTTTTTAGCAAATTATTACCATCCGGATGATACTTCGTATATATATACAATATGTATATATACATATACATACATAGTTTCATCTCCTCGTAACTGACAAATATTTTGTTTACGAAAATTCTGTGGATTGGGGCGTATTCAAATTCGAGGACGGCAAATTTTTTTTATTTAATTAAGGAATAAAAACTCGTAAATACCCATCTGCTTTCCACTTAAATAGTAAGTTGGGAAAAAAGATGGCCTTCGAAAATATTGAGCCGTTTGGCGTGACCTACACCTCCAAATTGTCAAAATAACGAGATAGAGGCCAAATGGCCCGAAATTTTTGTAGGCCACCTTTTTTATCAATTTTATAAACAAATTATCTTATGAACGAAGTTCAAAGCAAATGGGTATTTTAGAGTTTTTATGACCTCAATAAATAAACAAAGTTTGCCAACCTCCAGATTGAAAACACTCCAATTCCGAAAATTTTCGCAAATAAAATATTTGTAGTTTACGATGAGATGGAGATATTTACAAAGTTTCTGTCGGATGTTAATAATTTGAGAAAAAGGGTTTTGTACCACTAACTAAACCTGACTCGCTTAAAAAACAACACAAATATTGAATTTCTCCGTTTTCTGCTAGAAATTAGCCAATTGTTTATATGAACTTTTTTGTAGCTCTTGAGGTCTAACATCACTGCTATAAACATTTCCCTTTACATACGGGACGGACACCCTACATATAATAAGTTTTTTATTGGTTGCTTTTTAAACTAAGCTTCTAGCCTCCCTCTCTCCCAAATAGCTTATAAATTAGTAACCAAGTTTTCGCTAATTCATACATTTTCATAAAAATCCTCTTAATCACCTTAATCAATTAATTAAAAGACCCGGGTCTTGATTTGCAAATCAAAATTTTTAAAATACAACTCATCCTGTCTCGATCCGTCGACTTCTGAAACCATCTGAGATTTGAAATATGCCTATTTTTTCAATGACTTTTATTGCACTGGTTTAATATAGGCATTCGTTACTTCTCCATAAAATTTCTAAATAAAGCTTACATACTATCATATAATATAAAATAATAATAATGTTTATTTATCCTGGGACAGGATCCTTTATACTAACATAAATCGACAAAACTGAGCCTTAGATATAAATGAAAAAACAGAATAAACAAATAGAAATTGTAATAAATTATAAGTTAGCTTCTATAATAATAAATTTAAAAAAAAATGTAAACTTAATATAATTGAAAATAAATTAATAATTTACATACAAATTAACAGGAACGTCTACTTACAAACTTTTTGGAACTGGATGGACAGTAAGTGATTTAATAGGCGGGATATAAAGTTTGGGAGGATATTGGAACGAAGTATGTCAATTAAATAATGAAACATCTGTAAAAATTGAAGGCCGAGAACGGATAATATAGTGTGGATAATGAAAAAAAAATCAACAATACCTAGTCTAATTTTGGTTTAGGTAACAAGGGGAGGTTATGGACGTAGGCTCACCGATTTCAATGAAACTTTTTTTAGTGATACTAGGTCGAAAAATATTAGACCTATGTGCGAGGGTTCTTGCCAATGCGCCCAAGGAGCCGAGATAAAAAACTTCATAAAATTTTATAAAGTTAATGTTTTTTCAATATGCCTGCATGCATTTTTAAGTCATTACAAATCAATCTATTTGTTTTTAGCATCCACCATAACTTTTAAATAAGAGTTTGTTTCGAAATAAAAATATATAAATTTTTTGACTTAATTTCCTGACGGATTTTTTTTTTTTTTTCATGCCGTTTACTAAAATATTCATAACTCCTCTGGAAGTTCTCCTAAACGAATGCTATCTCAACTGTTGGAAAGCTAAATTATTTCTCTTCAAAACCATATCAATAATTTTCAGATTTTACGTATTTATAAGGAATAAATAAAGAAAACTCCCTAAATCTTTTTATTTTTTAGCTCCAAGCCATTTTTGCTCAATATTCTTCCTTCTATTAATGGCTTAATAGAAGAATCAACTTTATTCTGGGACAAAGTCCCTTAAGAATAACAATATTGATTCATAAAAATTAACATAACATCTCGCCAAAATGCATATTAAAATAAAAGAATAGCTAAAAAATAAGTAATAAAAGAAGTATTTACATAGCTATACAGATATATTAAAGAAATAATATGAGCAATAAGGTCACCATACTGCAAAATAGTTGCTACAAACAATAACTAAACAAAATTTCAAATGAACGATAAATTACTTTTGTTGTCATACCATTGTATTAATGAAAAAAATAATAATAAAAGAGTAGATAAATATTTACTATAAATGATTTACATCTGTACCTTAATATGTTCAAATGAATACAATAATAATATTGTAAACATTATACAAGTCTTATATAATCTATATCCTAAGATGTAGATTGATCGGAGAAAATAAAAGATGATATACATATACAGGAGTGCATTCAATATTAGTAATTAGTTAAATATATCTCAAAGTCTTACAATCTTATACATTGAAAAACTAACAAAAAATAATTCTCAGTGAAAGTGACTGGACATCTTTTCCATACACAAAAAAGAATATATATGTATACAAATGATGCATAGAGAAAAATGCAAGCATTTAACCTTAATCCATTTTCATTAGCCCAGACACAGATCCGATTTAGGTCTTCTTGTATTTTTGCAAACGCATCATGCCACTCAGTGGGAGGAGCGAAGGAGAGGTAAATTTGGGAATAATCGGCATAAAAGTGATGGGAACAGTAAAGGATTGATTTATGAAGTTCGTTAATATATGAATTAAAAAGGAGAGGAGATATGCTAGAGCCCTGTGTCACTCCTGAGGACAGAGTTAGATAGGAAGATAAAGGTTGGTTAGGAATAGAGACTGGGTACGTTGAGAGAGGAAAGATGGAAACCAAAGGATAGAGCTGTTGGAAAAGGTTAACGATTTTAATTTGGAGAAAACGATAGAATGATTAACGGTATCAAAGGCTTTGGAAAAGCCAAGGAGTACAACGACAGTTAGTTTATAGATGAAAAGGAGAACGGGAAGGATTTTAGGTAGGCACAATTTAATTAATTTGAGAGGAATACCATCTGGACCAATAGAATATTAAGACAAAATATTTAGCAAAAGAATTATATTTTTCGATTGCAATGAAAATTCTTATTTGAGAGATTATAGAAGTGCAAAAAACAAATATTATCTTAGATTATCCCCAAAAAATATATTTCATGTTATAATATGTACAACACATGCTTTATTCTTAATTTTCATATCGAATCGTGATAAAATAGCAGATTTTGTTAATACAATCTTACTTCCAATACCCGTCCGATTTAAAACAATACATATATTTGACATAGAGCCATAGAACGAGTACAATATTGAAACAATTAGTACTGACCAAAGGAGTAAAGGAGTTAAAATTTTTTTCAAGGAGTTGAGATTTGTATTTCAAAACTCGAAAAACCCTTACCCTTTAGGGGCTATGCCTTCGACTTTTTTTTGAAAATCACGAAATTTGTGATAACTTCAACATTACTCCTCTTATCCACACGAGAATTAGCATGCATTCAGAACACTACAACACACACGAAATGGCATAAACCGACGCCCGTAAATAAATTAGTCTTGGAGATAAAATAGAAAAATATTTGGGGAGTTTTTCTTTATTTATTCCTTATAATGATGTAAAATCCGAAAGTTATTGATATGATTTTGAATAGTAATAATTTAGCTTTACAACGGTTGAAGTAACGTTGACTTAGGAGAACTTCCTGAGGAGTTATAATTATTTTACTAAACAGCATGAAAACAAATTGTTGTTTGATAACCACAGATTGAGATATTAACTTTTAAGCATAATATAGATTCTGTTCTAATCCACTACAGAACCATATCGACTTTGTGAGAGGAATATTCCAATAAATTAAACTTGTTCATCCCGTAATAGATATTTAGATGAAATTGAAACTTGATTATGTATTTTAAAAGGCAAAGTATGAAAATATTGAGATTACGATCGAGATTCTGTCTGATTCGAAACTATTCCACCGCATTTCGTCATCTTCCCACAGTTCTTCAATTCCTCGATCTTCACAAGAGCAGTCCCGCCTTCCTGGAGAAACACCAGGAGCAACAGTCTGAAAACGAAAAATATAACATTAACAATATTACAGCTTATTTTACGGATAGTGATAGTACATTGTTTTAAGATCATTTTCTTATGTTGACGGTTCCTAAAGTAAAAATCAAAGCACAAAACTACATATTTGAAGGGTACATGGGAAGAACTGATAACTCCATTTGGCATTCAACTAAAACTTCCACTCCCTCCTCCATCTTTCAATTATTACTCATGTCGCAGAACATATTGAGAAGTAAAAGAAGAAAGCTCCTGGCCAAGACTTGATAAATGCTATAGCGCTCCAGCAAATGCCAAGGAAGGTTCTCACGTTTCTAACGTCTATCTACAATGCAATACTTAGGAACACTAAATTTCCTAAACAGTGAAAATATTCGTACATCTTTATGATTAACAAACCAAACAAAGACAAATACAATCCCTCATCCTATTGTCCAATCAGTTTGCTTTGCATTTCTTTCAAAATATTTGAAAACTATACTGGACATACTAAGGTATAACCAAATAACCCCTGACCTTAAATTTGGATTTACGAAACTTCACTCAACAACACATCAATTAAACCGAGTGACTGACTTAATTTCAACAGCACTAGAGCAAAATTTATATGCAACATGTGAATTCCTGAATGTCGCTCAAGCATTTGATAAAGTCTGGCACAAAGGTTTTTAAACTCAAGACAGTACTACTCAGCTATACAAATACTGCCTAATCCTTCATTTTTTTTTTCTTTCCCATAGATTTGTCTTCATTTGTTGGAGGTACAGATTTAATTATATACCAATAAAAAATAATAATAATAAAAAAAACAATAGATGCGGTCAGTGGCATTAAGGGCCGGAAGATATTGTAATATCCCTAGTGAATTTCACAGTATAGAATAGTACTGTCGTTTGATGATGAATAGAAATGTATAATATCGAAAGTTTATCAAGTATCTGACTGTTTTTATCATAGGAATTGGAATAGGAGGGATTTGAATGTGGATATGGAGGGGGAATGCCGAATTTTGATAGGTAGAGAATTCCAGAAATTGACACCGCGAGCTATAAAGAAATTCTGAAATGAGGGAGATCTGCGCGTATCTTAGGGTTCTATATTCACACCTTTGCTATACATTATATAAAAACACGATGTACAAGAAGGTCCCAACATCATAACAGCGACGTACGCTGACGACACTAAAATCATTAGAAATATCAAGATGGTAAATAGGCCTCACTAACGCTAGATCACTTATATAGAACTACAAGATTAGTACAGGTCGTGGAAAATACGATAAAACTATGACAGATACCAACACTTCACATTTACTTTATGATACACAGTAAACTTGTTTCCAGTATACTTCAATAATATATCATTAGCACAAACAGACAAGGTCAGACAAATCAACGAAGTAAACTATTATACTTATTACTCAGACCACAATTAAAATTAAAACTAAGACGAAAACTTGCTACCTACACATACTTACTAAAACCAATTTCGCCTTATGCATCTCAAATTTCTGATTCTGCCAAAAAGATACACACAAAAAGACAAAAAACATTTCAATCGAGAATACTTAGACTTATTACTCAAGTACCTCGATGTACCACTTTATACACCGACCCAAGAATGACAAAAGTCAGTTAATACAAATGGATCACCTACCAAAGATTTAATGACAATTTACAGGAACATGACAATCATCTATCAGTAAGAATGGTCAATACCAGAATACCTACCATTTCAAGAAGGCTGACAAGATCATGGATGAGAAATCTTCCATAAAACGCTGATTTTTACTAAATTTGTCAAAAACAGACAAATTACTATAAATGCAGGTTAGAAATGAGTTTCCTAAGAGGAAAATTTAAAAGTCGTAGATCTTAACAACTTTCTAAAGAAAAATGTTAATATTTATTATTTTTTTTAGAACTTATATATTGAGAAACATAGGATTTTATCTCAAAAGACATTTATAATAGTGTTCAGTGAGCACATTCACACTCTACGTACAATACATAAAAATAAATTAAACTGCAAAATAATATAACTAAAACTAAATGTATATAAAGAAAAAATAAACTAATCAAAATAACAACTTAAACACAAACATACTTTTATGCAATATTTACAAAATTCGAGTGAATACTCAAGGAAACTCGAAGCCAAGTATTTTCCCCCACTCGTGGAAGGAAAGGCAGGACTCCAGGAGATCCCAGCACCTCTCACTCAACCGCATTACCGGCATTATAATTTATTAATAATGTGGTTAGTTTTAGTTTAGTTACATTTTAATCTTGTATTTCCATAATAATTTATCTTCTCATATTAACGTAACAAAAATCGATTCTCTTAAGGGAGATGTAATTTTAAATTCCTAGTTAACGGTAATAAAGTGACAATAACGAAATCATTTAATCGTTATATGAATTTTTATATATGTATTTGTATTTGTTTAATATAATATAATTTTCATTTTGGAGGAAATAGGTTTAGAAGTGGGATTGCTCGAGAAAAAAATAAAAAGAGTGACAAAAGTATTTACAATATACTTCTCCAGGCCAAAACAACCCCTTCTTTAGAATATTAAATTCTTCTGGAAGATCGCCTAATCATTCTTGTTATGTTTCGTTGTATTGTTTACAGAGAAGTTCTGCATAAAAATGGATTCAAACTGAATAGAAATTGCTGGTTTAAATTTATTTTTTTCTTGCTTAATTATAACATTAATTTATTGTGATAATATCACGAATAAATTAAAATGGAAATTAAATATTTTGAATTAATCTATTTTGTATTGCTTATAAATAATTTTAAATAATTTAAGCTTAATAAATGAGCATTTTACGCATTACTTATTGAATCTATGTTTTATTTAATTATGTTTAACTATGTTTTCCTCAAACTTTTAATGGCTATGGTCGAATTTCGATCAATGTGTGTGTATACAGTGATGGAAAAAAGTATTTGCACAATACGTTTTTATGAATAAAGTAGTTCAAGGAAACAAAAAACTTCGCTTTCCTTTGCAAAAATGAAAAGTAAATTTATTAAAAACTGAAAAAACCTTTTTACAAAAAAATAAAAACACTTCATAATCAAACAAAATAATTAAAACAATAAAAGTGCTTGGAAAAAAAAAATTTGCACACTTCCACATTTACAAGTTTATTTTAAATTTTAATAGTTTTAATATTTTGTAAATAGGCCATTTGCATCAATAATTGCTTGTAGACGTCTGGGCATTGAATGCACTAGGTTTTTAATTAAATCTACTTTTATTTGCTCCCATTCTTCCAAGAAGTTGTTTAAGGTGATGTACACTAGTGATATGGTGTTTTCTTACATTTTGGTCAAGGGTGTGCCATAAATTTTCAATGATATTTATATCTGGTGACTGAGGAGGAGTGTGGAGCTGTCTTGGAACATTAAATATTAACCACTCCTTTGTTCTCCTTGCAGTATATTTTGGATCGTTGTCCTGCTGGAAATAGTTTTGATTCTAGATTCCCATTTTTTCGGCACTAACACTCAAATTACGTCGCAAAATGTTCATATAGCCTTCCGCATTTAAAATGCCTTCGATGCTCACAAGATTTCCCACGCCCTGGTGGGAAACACACCACCAAACCATAACATGTCCTCCACCATACACTCAGTTGTTAAAACATTTTGCTTCTTTTTGGGCTTCATTAAGATGTCGCCATATCGTCCTTCGACCATCTGAACCAAACAAATTAAAGTTGCTTTCGTCAGAAAAGATGACACTTTCCCAAAAGCTTAAGGGTTTCTGTACGTACTCGCTAGCAAAAGCACGGCGCTTTTTGCGATTCGTTTCACTGATGTATGACTTCTTTCTTGGAACTCTACCATGGGGCCCTTCCGAATTCAGGGCATATCTAATTGTTCTGCTAGTAATCTGAACTCCAGACGTTGATTGGACCATGGTAGCCAGCTCCCGAGAACTTATCAGAGGATTTTTAAGAGCTTCTTTTCTCACTGTAGAAAATTCAACCCTAAGAAATCGACAATTCGGCGATATGTTTTTTGCTGACTCCTCAGTAAAACAAATTTTTCGAGAGTTGAGGCACACAGTTCACTTGTGTTTGGCATGATAACTGTCTATTGATTAAAAGAAACTGATTGAAAGACACGAGAGTACTAGTAATAAACGATTAGAGATAAATTAGTAAACAAACCTATGACCTATGGACACAGAAGGATTAATGCCAAAGTAAACAGAGCTTGTGAGTCATACTGTGCAAATACTTTTTTCCAAGCATTTTTATTGTTTTAATTTTTTTGTTTCATTATTGAGTGTTGTCATTTTTTTCCAAAAGGTTTTTATAAGTTTTTAACAAATGTACTTTTCATTTTTGCAGAGAAAAGCTAAGTTTTTTGGTTCCTTGAACTCATTTATTCATAAAAACATGATGTGCAAATAATTTTTTCCATCACTGTATTTGTAAACTTTCGGGCTAACCCCTCCTCCTCTCCAAAATTAAATCCTTAATCCATACTAGTGACGTGATCTGCAACTGATTAGTTGTTTTTTACAAATTACAAAATACGGTATTTTTTAAACCACTTAAATCAGACTTATAGTATTTTAGTTTCATTGGTATTTTCATTTCTTTATCCCAGTGGTATGGGTATATACTGGCATTATTTGCAACCAGATCTAGATAAGGTGACATATGGCTGTCCTTGGAAAAAAAAACAGACTTTAGTTTACTCCTATGAACTTAAAAGTTCGTCCCTGGACTTTATATACAGCGACTGCTAACGATATTAACGGGGAGCTCATATTGCCGACAGTTTGTCATACTAATTGACATTTATGGTTAATGCACCGTTTCTTATCTTACGTATGTTATAACGTCAAAAGCCTTAATCGACAAACGGTTTATTTAACCTAAAAATGACTTAAAATCGGACAGGTAGTTCCTGAAAGTTCCTTAAAAAAAAACAACCTTTCGTGTAAAAGCATCAAAAGCACCAATTGATGACAGTGTACCAATACCTGACATCCTCCTCAGAAAATGAGAATAATACAATTGTAGAACCTCCTAGACCTCTATATTTTCTCCTTGAA